CTGTTTTCAACCCAAAACTACAGGCTTTGTGTGTTTGGTAAAGGTCTGTAGTACTCTTTTCCTCAGAGCTTTCGGGATCAACTTTTCTCTCTTCGGGAACCAGTATGGACTCGAAGTCGGCGTATATTACAAATGGTGCAGGCATTGAGTTCCTGTGATTTTTGAACTTTATTTTCGTACCCTTACTCGGAAGCTTTGTGGCCTGAGTTCCATTTACCTCGAGACATGTCTCCTTATGTTTCTTCAGCAGCTCCTCGCTCTTACAGCTGTGGAGGCAATACAGACAGAAGTGCTTCTTATGTTCGTGTCCACTTACACTATACAGCATTCTATTAATGTCCTTTATTAGGACATAGTGGTTGTTTCCATTACCGTCACCTAAGAGTAGCAGCTCCATATGCTCGTCGTATTTTGTCTTGGAGTTTCTTATTGGATAGAACTGCTTTTTACCCTTATAGCCGAACACTGATATGCTTATACAGTTTCTTCTCTCGATTTTGTCAATATCGCTTATTTTCACAGGGAAGTCTATTCCCTCATAGTCTAGGTTTTCCGAGAACTTAACATCCTGTCGTGTTATAGTAGTTGCTCTCCTGACCTTTGGTCTCACGTGTCTCACATGACTCCACATAAAACATTTGTTATCTTCATTTTTCATATTAATGAGACCACATTTTGGATTACCAATGTCTGCGGGTAATTTCATATATGAACTACCCTTTAGAGGTTTATACATTGCAATGTTAACGTAGTGGCTTTCAATATTTAGTATAATCCAGTTTGAACCTAGGTTTTGAAATGTTTCAATTCTGGATAGGATTGTCAGCTGGTTTTGTGCTGCAGTGCTTTCGATATCCTCAAAGTTGGTCGCAGTTCCGGTTTTCGACTTGAAGTATATTGAATCCTTCTTTGTTTTGTCATTACCGATTTCCTTCGACATTCTCACCTTGATTGTTTCTGTATATTTTAGACCTCCCATTCTCTTCAACTCGTTCACTAGTATTCCCCTCACCACCTGCCTACTTGCTGTCATCTGGTCCAGTGGGTCCATATAGTTTGGAGTTATTGAGTAGGTCACAGCTGCTCCATTTGCGGCAGTTTCTATTTTCCTGTAGGATGGCTTATCGAGGTATGTTCCAAATGGATCAATTTCATGTTCCTCAGGTGTAACCACCACAGGCTGCTTTGCGACTTCCCTAGTCACCCTTTTAGGTTTTCGTAACTTTGGAGGAGGCACTGGTTTTTTAGTCCTTGGCTTAGGAACAGGTCTTTCCCTAGGAATCCTAGTTCTAGGCTTAGGAACAGGTTTTTCCTTGGGAAGAACCGTTCTAGGCTTAGGAACTGGTCTCTCTCTAGGTTTCCATGGAGTCACACCTTTTGGCACCTCAGGAGCTTTCCTTGTAGGTTTTCTGCTTAGATCCACTGTCACCGTGAACTTATTTGGTCCCACCTGTGTTATGACACTATCCGCAGGAACCGAGAGTTTTATCCGACCCTGGCTTATAAACCTTTCTGCGACAGTCTGTCTTCTAACCTTAGGTTTCGGTGTTTCGACTACCCTAACCTTTGGTGGTCTACCTCTCCTCTTAGGAACCGTAACTTTTTGAGTTTCAACCACCTTAGCCTTTGGTGGTCTACCTCTCCTTTTGGCAACCTTAACTTCTTTGGTTTCGGCTACCGCGGTCTTTGGTGGTCTACCCCTTCTTTTGGGGGTTACTTCACCATCAACCTTGACCTTTGGTGGTCTACCTCTGGGACGCTTGGGATTCCTGAGGTTTTCGAGCCTCTTCATCTCAGTGTTTACCTGAGGATCGTCTGTTCTCCATCTACCTCCCATTGTTGGTGGTAGACCTTCAACTCCTCTACTCAGTAAGCTTTGATATGCCTCCTCTACTAGTAAAGCCTTTGCCTTCTGTCTCTCGGAATATTTCCATGTTGGCATTATTCCTCTCTTACCCTTGTAGTTCAATGGGAGTCTTCTTGGTCTCTTGGGATCCGTAGCTCTATCACCTTCATCGATGAATAGTTTCTCTTCCGCGAAGATGTTCTCTCCCTTGTCCTTAGGTGCAACACGGTAGAACTTATCCTCCGAGATTTTATCCACTTCATCCTCAAGATTTCCTTCATAGTCGCTGTCATCGATTATCTCACTAAGTGCCATAAGTTGTTCAACGGTCATGTTGTTCATGTCAAAGTTGTTCGCCATTTTTCACTCTTTCTCTATATACTATAGGTAAAAAAAAATAGCCCCAATTAAGGGGCTATTTAATTCATTAATTTATTTAACATTTAATTTAATAATTTAATATTTAATTTAATTTAATAATTTAATATTTTATGTAATTTAATAATTTAATATTTTATGTAATTTAATAATTTAATATTTTATGTAATTTAATAATTTAATATTTTATGTAATTTAATAATTTAATATTTTATTTATTCTTTAATTTCCAGTTATCGTAATATTCACAACCTACAGGTTTCCATCCCAACTTGGGGAAGACTTTACCATATAACCTATCCTCAAGGATTTTCACAATTCTTTTTGTCCTGATGTCCTCAGGTGGATTTCTTAGCGTGATGTTGTTCATGCTGGCTATCCTTAGAAGGTAAAACTTATATCTAACTATGTTGCGCCCCCGCTGCAGTCTAAGTCTTTGTATACATCTTACGATGCTTCTGAACTGCTCCCTTATTATGTCCCTATCCCCGGAAGCAACATGTTCGAGTAAATGTCTCTCAAACCAACAAACCCTATTATGGCAAGACTTCTTTTTGAGATAGTCGTCCTTGTTGTTATTGTAACTAACATAGTATGTGAAGGTATTCATATAACTTGTTCCGCAGTGTGTGCATGTATCAGCTCCATCCACCATCACAATAGACTTACTGCCACATTCAACACATACTGGTTCGTATGTATGTACAACCTTCATTTTACCTCTCACGTATTTCATTACTGCGGCCTCCAGCTCCTCAATATTTCTTGCTCTCCTACCGACTCTTTCCATTTCATCAGGTGTTACCAGTGTCAGCCAATCCATTCCCTATACTATATGTGTTAAAATATTCTGCTTGTTTTTGTTGTCTGTTTTTACGTCTCCTTATTATTCTCAGTTCTACATATTTTTTAACCGCGGCCTCCAACTCCTCTATAGTGTCTACCCTTTTACCAAGGGCTATTACCTCGTCAACGTCTACCATTGCAAGCCAGTCCATTTCTCTACAATATATGTGTAAAAATTTATTGCCGTATTAAATTAATATTTTATAGTAATAAATAAGCTGCCCCTCCAACCACCCCACCCATAATTAAACCAAATATTGCCATATATTCTTCCATCTCTGAGCTAGGTTTGTAGTGGTTACTTAGTTGCGGCTTTCTTAGCATAGCTGTACGTGTTAGCTCGTTGATTCTCCTGATGAGTTCCAATGCCTTATTTGTTGCGTTAATATTCCTGTTCGCCTCACCCAGTTCGGCCTTAAGTTGCGCAAGTCTGTTTCTTCTATCGGTGACTTCTTCAAGGTACTTCTCTCTTTCAGCTGTTAGGTTCTCCATTGCAATATTGTGTCTGTGGGCTTCCTCAGCGTATCCATTCTTGTCAAACATTTTAAATAGGTATCCTGCTCCAGCAAATGCGAATGCGTTAAATAGTCCTCCTGCTACTGCTCCCGCCATTGTATAGTTTTACCTAGGTTTTGAATGGATCATCTGGTATATACTTCTTTTCTTTCAGGTAAGAGATTAGTAGAGATGAGAGGCTAACTGAGACAGCTAGCTTTGCCATTCCTCTTACATTCTCTGGGGTGCATAATGGTTCTTTTAATAGTTTCTTCGATGCCATTGATATACCAACTGCTCCTGCTGTGAGTAACACTGCATTGTACACTTCCGCGGTCATCTTTGATTCTTTACTCATCTTGCTATAATATATATTATGTTTAACGTATCATTCAAGTGAATCTAACTTAGACGCATCAGCTTTCCTGGTTACTTCTACAGTTTCAGGGACGTACTTAGGTTCTGGTTTCTCTGTTTCCCTCTGATGCTGATTAAATGCTAGAGCAAGGGATACCAATGCGATGACCACTCCTACATATGCGATCATGTTATTGCTGGATGACTCCTCAGGTTCTGCAAGTTTCTTTTTCCTCTCCTTTGCTATTTTACTGATTGCAGCTAACCGTTTTCCTGCAGCTACTCTTTTTGGGTCTTTCTTCTTTTCACTTGTTACTACTTGAGTTTGCTCGGGTTTATCTTCCATTCTACTTGTAAGATACCTTAGGTTTAACTGGGTTTTATCTTGTGAGACATCTGGAGTCTACTTGTGAGATAACTTAAATTTACTTGTAAGATGTCTCAAATCTACTGGTGAGATAACTTAAATCTACTGGTGAGATAACTGGTGAGATAACTTAAATTTACTTGTGAGATAACTTAAATCTGCTGGTGAGATAACTTAAATCTGCTGCTAGCGCAGCTAGTACTTATCTGATTTGAACCTTGGCCTGTAAGTCTTCACACCACTAGCGGTAATTTTCACTGCAACTTTTCTTACGGTTTTCTTAAGTGAAAAGTACTCGTTAATTCTAATACAAGTTTTTATCAAGTCGTCGGGTGTCATTACCATATATCCCATTCTCATAAGCTTCTGGAGCCATAACACTTGCCTCTCACTTGCAACCCCAGTGCCCTTAGGAGACTTAAATTCAATGGCAAATCCTTTGTACTTCCCCATAGGATTCTCTATAATAAGATCTGGCTGACCACCTTTGTATCCCTTCTTCCAAGCGTCACATCTCTTTGACACAGTGTCCTGATACTCACCTAGGCCAGGTACTATTACAGCCTCTGGGTAGTTGTCTCTAATGTAACTCACAACTGCGTGATGAAGGTCCGTTTCATTTATAAGGATCATTTGGTTATATCTGAGTGACCTTCTATCTGGTAAATTATACGAGCCTGTTTTTCGTATAGATGGGAGGACTTCTCTGAAAACCCAGTCCTGGAAGTCCCCAGCTATTGGAAGTCTTGAGCTACATATTAGCTGGTACAGACCAGGTTCGAGAAGTAAGATTGTCTGTGGGTGACATTTCTGTAAGAGGGGCGATTCGCCCCTCTTGCGTAACTCGTATACACTCACCTTATTTTGTTTCCTAACTAGTCAGGGAGGTAGTGGGAATTTTACTTACTTTTTCGAGGGGCAAATTCTTTTGGTAATAATATCGTCCTTCAAAGTGCCCTGATTGCGTTTTCAAATGTTGTTTTCGCTCATTTTTCTTGTGTGCATCAATAACGGTTTGCTTTCTTCGTCGCTCAGTATATGTTTACAATTTTATAAAATGGCGGCGAAAAAGAGGTGAGCCCGCAATAATTTGACCACCGCAGCGATAATTTTGAGGATACGTCATGTAAAATAACATTTTAATAGAATAAAATAAAAATACGCGCCTTTTTTATACTATAAATATATATAAATGAATTATTCTCTTTGGATATAAAATGTTATTTTCTTTTGTCTCTTATCTTTGTTTATCTTTTTCTAACCCTAACACTAACACCAACCAAGAAATGTTCTTTTATATCTCCGTAACAAATGGGTGAACATACTTATCAACACTTACCTTTCAGGCGCTATAGTTCATAGATTGTTACTGTATTTTTGCAAAGTAAATCAACAGTCAATTAAAATGCCCGAAAAAAACGGATAAATTAATTTAACATGGATCTGCTTCACAGATCTTCGATGGGTAGTTCGGACCATAGATCACAAAATCGCACCTCAGCATCACTGGAGAAATGTTCATCTTGAAACATCAGCGCAAGAAAAAACCAGGCAACATCATCATTTATCGGGGCTTCGGTGGCGCAGTGGTTAGAAGCGCTCGCCTTTCACCTGACTAACCTCTGATGCCTGCGGGTTCGATTCTCATTAACGGCGATCTCATTGAGAATGCTTTGATGCGACTTGAACCCAGCGCACGCCGCTCATTAGGATGAAAGGAGACCTGAACAGAGGGCTAACTTCAAGGTCTACCTATATGTATACCTTAGATAAAATAATTGTGAAATCGTGAAATTGTGTGAAATCAGTGCACGAGAAAAACAGGAGTAATGTTCATTGAAACATCAGCGCACGAGGAAAAGTGGAGAAATGTTCATCAGGAAAAAAGGAAAATGTTCAGTTGACCATCTCTTTAAACTCCGACGAAGCAGGAAAAAAGCAAAACGTTCAATTGTCTATCTCTTTAAATATGAATGATTGTATATCCTTTAAATTCTTTATGTTATCCGCTTATTGTATTTTAATTAAGCTATAAATTATCTTGTAAATTATCTTCCAAAATGCCATGGACGAACGAAGAGGAAAAAATGTTCTGGTGATCACCTCTTCAACATCGGCGAATCAGAAACAAAGGAAAATGTGTTTTATTGAATTTAATCATCAGTGTCATCATCCATATCAAATACATCATTTCTGGTAAGGTCGTCTTCATCTGGTAAGCCATTTGCACATGTATTGCAATTGCACAAATCCGTGCAGTTTAGACCATTTGCCACACAAATGCACATATTATTTTGACACTTAGATTTTTTGCATCCACATGCTAGAAACTCTAACAACGAATCAGGCGCTGGTTTTTGGCTCATCCACTTTACTTCCAATATGCCATCGGTTTCTACCCAGCCATATCCTGTAGGGCGTGGAGGATTGATTGTAGCAACTAACGCAGACTTCCAAATACAAGTGACGTAATTTGCTCGTTTGCAATGGAGTAATAACTCGTCCTCAGTAGGTGGAAGTTGTTGGGGATCAGGAATCTTCGCTTTCGTGCAGAATTTACGATAGCGTGCTTCGTTGATTTTGGTACAATTCTTAATTCCATAACATGCAGCAATCATCTCTTGAAAGACTGGAAAGAGATCCAAATCGAAATCGAAAGTGTTTCCCATTTGTGCCAATACCTCTTTGAACCGATCAGAGTTGTTGACAACTTTGTAGAACTTTTGCTTCCCAATTCCAAAAAATGCACTGGTTGTGTCACAGCCACTAACTGCATGCAACGCGGGGAGGGCATCTGATAATTCTTTCCCGATGGTTTCGGAAATCCTGGCAATACGTATAATCCGTTTCTTCGCTTTTGATCCAATTTCAACAAAGAGATTGCATGGGATATAGTTCTTGTAATAAATCGCGAGAATGGCAACATCACTATCGACTGTAAAAATGCAGATATTTTCACACGAGAAATAACGGATGGCATGCAGGCAACACAAGAACATCTTTGTGTCTGCTTCTTCTTGATCAGAAGAAAGGTCTTCTTCGGGCGTTGAGGTGACTCTATTCTCCATCACCTGTAATCGATAAGCCTTGCACTCTACTATCAGAAATATGACTCTACCCATGATGACTTCTCTAAAACGTTCTGGGTCTGACCAGTCAAGAAGAAGGAATTTTACAAGGTCGACTTTGTTGGAACCATCACTCAGGTACTTCTTAAATTGCTTAGGTGGCTTTTGATCTCTCCTATTAATCTGTACGCGGATATTCCCAGCAGAAGCACGTCGTTTTCGTTCACTGCCTTTTAAGGAACAATCATAATATTGATCAGTGGCCATGTAAATAACTTTTGATGAATGAGATGTAATTCTTTTTAGGACGTATTCGGAAATGTCGCCGAATGTTGCCAAACATACGGAAGGTAATTGCTGAATGATAACCATTCCATCGTAGACTCGGACACACTCATCTGGTAGAGCACTCACAGTTGCATCATCGACATCATTTTCGATAGCATTTAATAATTTGGATTTAACCGTTTTTGTCAGACTTCCATCTAACGTGGCTAACGACCAAGGAATAGGTCCCAACGAAAATGCAAAAACGTCACTTAACGAAATTTCTCGTTTTCCACAGATAACCAACAGTCGCGCAAAGATATCTCTGTCAGCCTTTAATGTTAGGTTTAGTTCCTTAACAGAGCAAGACTTCTTCATTTTCATTGACGCGAAGGTCTTCAACTTCATCTTGGATATCGGAATATATAGGTCTTCCTCGTTGGATTCAATACGCTTCTCTATGAAACTGACCAAAGCCTCTTTCCCTTTTTTTTCGGCATCAACCATATCCAATTCAACTTCACTAGTGCATTCCAAACCAGAGCTTAGGTGTATTAATCGAGTATTTTCGCAAAATGGCGTTCCCCATTCTTTAATTAGATCATAGCTTCGAAGTGTACATTCTTCGTCATGCAGGATTCTTTTCTCGGCCAAATCTTTCGTTATACATTTATCGTCAGACATGCCAAGGAATTCTTCAAGCCAAGATTGGGACTTAGCAGCAATATGACTAGTTAGAGTCCATCTTTGCACTGTGCCGTCAGAAGTACTGAAACCGATAATTCCACCTGCGCATTTTTGTTGTCTGTTGATGGTCTGCTCGATCGCTTGATCAGATGGTATTTTATTGAACTTTCCTTGCTGCCGCCTAACAGAAAAATGGCCAGCTTCGAATTGCTGATGGATGGATGGATGGGTTTCGGGCAATTTCTGCATGTTCACCAAGTAATATGTCAGGAAACGAGCGTAATTCGGACGGTCATAGGCAAACATCCAAGGCAACATGTTTTCTGTTGATTGCAGATGAATTTTCCAATCGCCAAGTTTAATTGATCGCGCGAAATCAAGCAAAGTTTGCACCATTTGCAAAAACGATGACCAGATGCATGCTGTAGGACCAAGAGAACCAGTCAGGAGAGAATTTTGGTAAGAATGGATCTGATTTATTACTTCCTTGTGACTTTCATGTAGAGTTTCCAGTGAGTCTTCGGTTGGGGATGAAAGGAATCTGTGCAGCTCTAAAGACTCCGTTAATTCTTTGTAACCGCTTATGTTGAGATGGCCAGTACGTTCCATCACTGATTGCTCGAAGCTTTCAATCATATGTCTTTTAACTGCATCATATAGGTACTTGAGAATTCGCATCGCGTTGTTGTAGTGCTTCCCTTTAAGCATTTGATCAACTGAGCTTTCACCGAGTAAGTTCGATTCGATTACAATATCGCGAAGACCAGCATCGCTAAAGCGTTTCCCAATGACAGCGATGAAGATGCACATAGTATGGAAGGCACCAAGACGTAGTACAATGAACTTTTTCAGATCGATGTATCTTGGATTCATCAAAATCTCGACAGCTTTGGCGTAGATTGCCATATCAAGAACAACGTCAGTTTCTGTCAATTGTAGCTTCTCTGCTTTCAGTTTAGACTGCGAGAGGAGTTCTAGAACCGTATCGTGTGACGTTGGGGATTGATTAATGGCAGGCAAATAACCAATCTTGTGAAATGAGTTGTCGTCATCATTGCACACTAAATAATTATATCCGGTCCAATTAGGTATTGTTTGTTGTCTACCGTTCTTGCTTGCCTGACTCCTGGCGATAACCCAGAGAGTATCAATCGCGTGTGAAAGCTCCAACTCTTTATTATACAAATTCAGCTCAACATCAATTTGGTCCTCTGTATTCTTTCTTTTAAACTGAATATATGGAGGTATTTCAGTTACCATAGGCTGGAAGGACCTTGGCTTCCTCGTTTTATTTATTGAACTTGCCGTTGGTGATAGAGGTGTAGAAAGCGGCTCGGGTACAGGTTCAGGTGCAGGTGCAGGAGAAGGCGCAGATGATTGTATAATTATCCCATTAGTGCAATGCAGACTTAAGCCTTTCAGACTTTCCGGATTGATATCATTATTGTCCCAAACAAACGTAACAAATCTGGACGGTTGGATGATAGAAGGAGTAAAAGATCTGTGTACTTGATTTTTACTATGTTCCATCGCTAAATGCGTTTCGAGAACCAGGACGTCGTTATATGAAATCCCATGTCCGAACTTGTTGGCCCAAGTAACGACTTGCTTTGACCCTGTCTTTCGCTTGATCAAAAATGAAAATGTTGCGTGCTTTGATATCTGTTTCTTACCGCTATTAGTATGGTACAGAAGATCCTGGCCGATTGAAGAAACTAAGCGAGTCGCTTTTGGAGATTGTCCTGGGGTTTTAACGAGAATTCCTTCTAACAATCGAGCAGTTAACTTAGGTATCGGTGTTTTGCTGGATAGGAAGTCATTTTCTGATGGCGGCCAACTGAAAGCAAGAGTAGTAAAAAAAATCTATGGCTATTTTAACTATATATATATATATATATATATATATATATATATATATATATATATATATATATATATATATATATATATATATATATATATATATATATATATATATATATATATAATTTCATTTACTTCAAAATTCCGCAACAGTCTGTTTCATTGCGGAATTTTGAGGTAAACGAAATTCTCTATTATTTACATCAAAGTTCGAACGAATAGTATTTCCACAAGGTGTTAACGTCTTTTCTGAACTATATGCAACATACCTAGGATATGCAGGTGGGGCTTCAAGAAGTTCCTTACGAATTTCGCGCGCAACTTCTGTTGTTTTCTCTTCTGCAGATTTGGCTTCCCATTTTAAGTTCGCTAGCTTCGCTCTCACCGCCACTTCAACCAACTGTCCCTTATCCACACCATCATTAAATAACAGCTCACTACCGGATGACGGATGCCAGAATCCAATTTTATTACCGAAGAACCTTTGAAGCTTCTCCTTTAAATTCTGAGCTTTCGGCACAATAACGTTATGATCTTCATCTCCAAGCGATTGTTCGACGAGATCTGAGTATTTTCTTGAAATATCAGCCATCCGCAATACCTCACATTCGTTGATAACTTTCTCTTCGATATACTTAAACACTTCATTCATAATCTTATCTTCGTTCTTCTCTGCAGCCTTCGGTTCTCGCTTTCTAACAATATGTCTATAACATGATCGATGGTAATAATACTCCTTTGCGACAATAGTCTGCCAATCAATGCCAGCCACTTCGGTTTGCAAAAATGAATAATCTTCATACGTTGCTGCCAGTTGCAATGTTCGTGCGCCATTCTCAGTCACACATTTCTCTAACTGCTCGTATCCGCTCCCACTCTGAGCTGTCTTTTTTTTCTTGCAAATGCAGCAGTCTCGATCAGCCAAAATTTTTCCTATATATATCATGAATTATTATGATATAGTTGACTTATCGACAAGAGTACACGTACGTACCATAACGTTTCTTATTTAGTTTACACAATAAAGCTACATTTACGAATTATTAGTGCGCCACCGGTAAAATGATAATGCGTTAACGCATACAAAATTGTTATGGTTAACACGTTCAAGAAAAGAAAACGCGTAATGCACTAGTCAATTGAAACCCCGGTATCTTCAGTATCTTTTGATGCGGATCAAAGTTTAAGATGAAGAATTGCCTTCACATGTTGCGAGCATTTTATACTTCAACGATTTCCCAAGTCATGAAAATTTGCAAAGTGCCGGGCCATAGGCGGTAACTTTAACAGTCAATATTCCCCCGGTAGCGGGGAAATTACAAAACTTTAACATTGTCAAAATGTTAATTTCCCCGCCCTATCCCGGGGGTCGGGGGGCCGGGGTTTCAATTGACTAGTGCATAATTCCCCATTAATAGGAAAAATTTAAAAAAAAAATCAAACTGAACTCGTAAGTAATATAAAAAATACCATGACTAATTTCTCGTTTTACCTCCACGACATTTCCTTTTTGACGGAACTCGAACAGCAATTTCTGTGTCGGTACTAGCAGTTGAAGTTGACGCCTCTGGTTCGATTGTTTCCTCGTGTAACTTTTGCAGCAACCGTTTGTGTGTGTATTTCTGGTAACACTTTCGATGGTATCCATAGCAAGAGGAAGGATGGTTTTCTCCAAAAGAATCCAGAATAGAAATGACGCCATCATCATTTCGCAACTGTGCTGCCTTATAGACCACCTCACGAGATGTTTTGCTGAATTTTGTTATGCATTCATCGTTGTCATGCTTACAATTAAGAATGCACATAAACTTTTTTTTCTTTTTAGGCGGTGTCAAATTTATTTTAACCTCAAGAGGTTGCAACCTTCTAACTTTTTTGGACATAATTTTAGAAATTTTTCAAATTTCAAATGATTTTACAACAATTTTTGTTAATTTGATAGCTTAATATGCCACATGTGGAAAGTAAGTAATTTTCCGCATTTAACATGCTTATTTGAAGTTTCTGTACGAACCACTGGCCAAAACAACGCGGGCTCATTTCTTCAAAGAAATATTTGTAAACAAAATGGCGGCATTTGAATGCGATATGGGCTGACATAAAACAGTGTTGACTACCTCACACAAGAAAAAGTGAAGAAAACAACATTTGAAACCAACATTATCAGGCTTGGTACTACACATCTATCATAAAATAAATTTGCCCCTCGAAAAAGTAAGTGAACACTCATTTTTTGCCCGCCACCTCCCTGACTTTACTGCCTTTTTTGGGTCAGCGTACCCTAGAGATTCTGCCACATCTTTTGCATAAAACAGTACATCCTCACCACTCTCTACAGCTCTCACACTAACATTCAACTTCTGGTTCCTGAATAGTTTTTCCATCTTTCTCTATATTATATATGTAAAAATTTTTATGGCTATTTTATGTACCATTTAAATCTAATTTATGAAGCAGCATTCCCTCTACCCACCCAGCTGCTTACTATAACTATGTACATCCTACAGCAAATAAAATATTACATTTCATGTAGCTTCTTGTATATCTTTACAACTGTTTCAGTTGCGTCAGCTTTAAATGTCTGGAAATCATACTGAAGTGGTTCTATGACCTTATCCTTGAGCGCGTATAAGTCCATCTCTAATGAGTCAAGGGTTTTTTGAATCACATCTAGACTTTCCCTATTCCTATCAGTTTTTTCAATCAACTCAGTAATTATATCTTCAAACTCTGTTCCTTCCCAAGCGTTTTCCCATTCGTATCCTGACATTCTTCTTCTTCTGTATTTAATAAGGTATGTTTTGCTTCCTCCGATGTCTCCTCAGGCTTCTCCTTCCTATTCCACTTGTGAGCAACGACATGCTTAGCTGTTGTACAACCACCTGATATTAAACCTATGAATGGAATGTTGGGGGATATCATTCTTGTTAGATATGATACGTCATCCTTTAGAAGTTTATCACTAAGTAGTTCCTCTGATAGCTTATCTGATGATTCCACTGCACCGAAACTCCCTAGTATAGAAGCAAACTTTGAAATTATAAGTGTTGATAAGAAGTCACTTGCGAATGACATCCTCTGACTTTCATACTCATTGTAAAGTTTGTCCACAACATCCTTGTTGGACTTTCTTATAAAACTTGCGGACTTCTCTATTACACCATCCCTTGATAGCTCTATAAGCTTGTCTCTTTTACTTTCAGTTTGCGACTTATCTGCGGTGGGTTTCGTTTTACTTGCGGTGGACTTAGCTTTCCTTTGCGGCGCCTTTGCGGCCTCCTCTACTTCTCTCACAGCATTGGATATTTCTTCGTCAGATTCTGATCCCATCTTCTATATTCTACGCGGTGTTTAGTTTAATAGTGTAAGTATAAGGGTGAACGAGGAGTATGTCTAATGCGGTGAACTTCTCATCTTTTAGTACCTGTGTTATCTCTGTAATTGTCTCCTGAGGAACACCACTTAGGTAATCATCTGTTATGACCTTCATATCCCTACGACTAGGGTTGTAAAATGTAACTAACCTGGAAATGTTCTCCCTGAATGGTTTCGCTACTGATGACAGTTGTTGAGTAATTACAATAACAGATAAGTTGTAATGTCTTGCGGAGAAAGCTAGGCGCACCAGTTCTGAGACTCTTTTCTTTACATCTTGACTTGCTGCACAATCATCCACTATAATGAGAGTTTGAGTTCCACGAAATATGGTGGACACTGCCTTCAGAACTAGATTGATCATTTCTTGTGAACATGGAATTTGTATGACTCCGTGATCACTAATATGAGCCCAATTAATGTAAGTCATATTCCATTCTATTGTTGGACATATAATAACAATGTAATCAAAAACTTTATTGTATTCCGTTTCTAACATATTTAGTAAGAACTGAGTCTTACCACTTCCTGTCATTCCTACTATGAGCATGTTGAATGGTGGCTCTAGATTCATCTCTATGCTTTACCGTTAGTACAAACCACGCAGCGCAGCTAGTAGTGAATACTTGATAGATCCCTATTAGCAAAGTTAAGTAGAGCATCTGATACAATAAAAATGTTGCACTGAACGTCTGCTGTTGTGGCTCTCTTATTAATTTCCATAAGTACTCCAGACTGCGTGTTAACAATCTTTCTACCTCCTCCAGTGGTGTCATCCTGTGTTGACCTTAGATCTACTACCAAGGCGAAACCATTACTGAAGAACTTGCTGATGGACATAAATTCGTCTGCCATGGATTTCTCACACATAGGACAGAAGAATCGTTTTGCCTCTTCGAAGAACCTATTTTTAGGAAGTCCTTGGGAGAAGACTGCATTAGGAACACCTTCAATGGTCAGGTTCACTTTATCAATGTTTGGGTAAATATACTCTTCAGAATCAGTTCTCACTCTATTGGTAAATAGAAGGACAATTGCTGACATGCTCTTTCTGGGTATATTTATGTTTTCATTCACAATGGTAAGATCTTTGTCCCAATTACTTGTGCGCATAAGAGTGACGTGTTTGTAGGACAGTGATCGACCCGTAGAATACATCCGTGTGACTTCACTTGCAAGGGCGTCATTCTCAATGGTCTCGTATTCTAGCTCAAGATTGTCCAGTTTATAATTACCCTTAGCTTCACCTCCTTGGGCAGTCATAATCTCATCTGATTGCGGGAGTGTGAGGATGTACATGGGATTGTTGTTCATGTAAAATGGAGTGTATAGACCATGGTCTGCAATTATTTTATCAATTGGTTTTCTCAACTTAGAACCATACACACTGTGGATAAGTCCATCTGCTACTTTATTAGCATCGCCAACCTTAGTGCCTGAGTCATCACCTGATATTAGCTTCCTAAGATTCTCACTTGCAAGACCCTGTTCAGTCATCTTCTTTCTGTCACCTAGTGTTAGCCATAGATCTTTGTATATTTCATACAAACTCTCTCCCGAACAGTCATAAGCTGTTTCACCAGCTACTTTAATCTGAAGACGTTTAGCTATCAACTTAGACAGGTTATTATTAAAGTGGCTTTTTGTATTGGAATTTTTGAAGTCAAATAATAGTGCAAGTGATCCTGGAACTAAACAAGAGTCAGGCTTTAGCTTAGGAATGTTAATGTACAGCTCTTCACCTGGGCTGATAGTTGTAGGGTTAAATGTCGTAACATTTAGGGTTCTAGGTCCTTTTATAGATGTCATATGGCTCCTCCTGAATCCAGGCCGTAGTTCTCTTTCTGTGGTATTCATACTTGTATACAATATGTAATGTTTAACTGTACTGATAAAGTAAAACTGCTGCTGCGCATATAATGATTATCCATATATTATCCGCTGCCAACTCTACTCCATCGGCTATCTTCTGGAATACAGGTGGTAGTTCTATTTGATTGTTTGCCAACTCACTAATCCGCTTATCGAGTTTTCCTGTTGTGTCACCTAATTTCCATAATATGTTTCTAGTTGAAGCTACCAGTCCTATGATTACAGCTGATGAGGAAATTAGAACAGCTGATAAGATGCCTGCATTCTCCCTTGCCCATAACCTGAGCCTCTGCAGTCTCCTACGATCATCCCGTTTAATGAGATCCCTCTTTTTCACTTTGTCTCTTAAGTTGAGAAGTTTATTTAAGTTTGACTCTCTTTGGTAATCATTTGATAGCATTCTAACGTACCTCAGTTCTTCCGACTTTTCTTTGAAACTGTCTTCATCCAAATCGGATAGTATTAATTCATTTAACAGTCTGTCTCCCCTATCCATTAGATCATCATATGATAAATTAGATAGGTTAGGAAATTTCTCAGCTAGTTGCTCTCTCATAAGGTCTTCACTTGGTACTTCTCTTCTCCTCCTCAATTCGAGTACGTAATTAATTTCCTCGTTAATATCGTGGGTCTCCTCAGTAGTTTCACTTTCCCTAAGATCCTTATCAAGATATAGTAATTCATCATCTAAAGTTTCTGTATCCATTTCTTCATAGTTCGGATACTTTTCCCGCAACTCCTCCATCCTCTGGTCATCGTATTCCTCTTGGTGTTCCTCCATAGCTACTTTACTTTGTGTAATAGTTGTATACAATTAAAGCTGCTGCTACAGCTAATACCCATAAATTAGACGCTAACCAGGCAATTCCTTTAGCTCCCCATGATAGCGCCGTTGCAACTGCGTTCAGGATTGGAACTAGAATTGGTCCTGCTTTCTTTGCTAAATTTGCTAATGCTTTTGCTACTTTACCAGTGACCTTCGCTGTCTTAACAATGGCTCCCCTAGCATGGATTAATAATGCTGTAATTAAACTAGCTGTTGACACTGCTATCCCTACAAGTCCCACTTTTCCCTTTCCTACCCAGTCTATAAATCTACGTAATCTACTAATGTCTTCCAACTGTGCCTCTCTTGCTTCCTCTACTACTCTCTGCTCTAGTGTCCTATCTCTAGCTTCCTTCAAACTGTCAATTCTTTCTATAAGAGCATTGTACTCAGTTGAACCTTTCGCTGAGCCGGCTCGTCTCACTGTTTCATTAATAGCTTCATTAAAGTAGTCAGCCTGAATTTGCAACGCCCCATTGGGACCTGTTCTACCTTCTATACTTGATCCATCAGGTAGGTTAAGCACTCCTCTTAGCTCGTTGTTTTCTTGCATTGTTAACCCAGAAAGGTCTCCTAGCCTTGCACTTATGTCTATTAACTCAATGTTTTCACCGTCAGCGTATTCCTCATAAATGTCATCAAATTGCAGCTCTTCACTTTCAATTATGTCGTCAGGATCTGTAGGTACCTCTTTTATTTTCTTTAGAAGGTCCTTGTATTCTCTCAGTGCAGGTGAGGCCTTTGAGTACACAGGTTTGTTGGAAAAACCACGTTTCATTATTTGTGTCCCACTTTTATTAATACCTTGTTCACTTCTAAATATCAACACCTCTGTGCCATCCTTGAGTGTTCTTACAGATGATCGTTTGATGAGTTCCCTGACGTATCTATTCCTAGGATCTAGTATCAGTCCCTCCTTATTCTTAATAACTCTTGTGACAGCTTGAACACGCTCCACTTGGTTTTCAAAATCTCTCTTTTTATTTTCTGTTGAAATCTTATTTAGTTTCTCTAGGCGGGCTTCTATTTCATCCCAGTCAGCGTCAAATGATTCGTTGAATGCATCTAGCACGTCTGGAAGTACATTGTTTGGGTCTTCCACAAAGTTGACTTCCGGGACAGTTGTACTTCCTGATGGACCTGAAATGTTCACTGTACCATCATTACCCTCAGTGAAATTGCACGTGTCTCCATGAGATTCTTTACATAGTCCAGTTCACTTTTAAGATCAGTTAGTACTACAGGGTCATCACCGTACATAGCCTCTCCCTTCACACTTGTATCTAACCTATCGAAAGCTATTACTAGGTCATCATAACTAAGGTCGTCATATTGAGGATACGTCTTTTCCGTCTCCTCTAACTCAATGTCATCGTAGTCCTCCATAATACCTTAACTTATGTTAGGGACTTGATGTCTCCAGCTGGTATCCAACTGTTAAATTTGTCATCATAACCTAACCACTTAACTAGGGCCATCTTTTTACCCTTCACTGTTCTTCTTCTTAGTACTTTCTCTATTTTGAAATCAGGTTCTCTTCCTTCAGCGCTATACAGTTCTTGTTCATAGAATCTGCCAATTATTGGTTCATCAGCACTGTCTTTTATTGTATACGTGTTTGGATGACCGTGATACACTTCAGTCACAGTGAACAACTCCTCTGTAAAATTAGCTTCGTACCCTTTTGTGAACACTGATTTGTATTTTGAAATTCTAACACTTTCTCCAACAGCAAACTTTGGTTCTAACGGCTTGCCTAAATTGTGACTAAAAAGTGTCTTCCATACTTCAGTCCAATTGGACTCATTTACACTGTCTGGTGTTGTTTTAATTGATCTGTTCACTGAACTGTTGTAATTATCAGTTAAGTCCTGAAGAACGTCTAACCATTTATATGTACTGGCACTGTAGAAGTACTTCCACATTAGCGCTTTCAGTGTTCTGTTAAATCTTTCCACAACTGCGGCCTTTTTGTCTGAGTAAGTAGAGAAAAATTCAATGTTGTGTTTATTGAGCAATGACTTTACTTCTTTGTTGTAGAACTCTGTGCCCTGATCAAACTGGGCGAATTTTGGGTATTTACCAAAACGATTATTAAATTGCTCTAAAATGTTACTGACTGCGTCCTTCATTGATGTCGCGTTTTTCCTATACACTGGTACTGTGAATGCGTACCTACTTAGTATTTCAATTGATGTGAGAATCCATCGGTATCCCTTGTTCTTGTCGTCATATTTTGTCATGTCAACTAAATCCATTTGTAACTGTTCACCTAAAGTTTGAACGTACGTCTGTCTGAACTTATGTCTCCTAAACACTTGTCTGTACCTTGTGTATGTGTCCTGCTCGTTTATCCATTTCTTGACCTGGTTTCTGGTTACTTTAAGTCCGTCTGATACTGCTCTAAGATATAGTTTCTCTGGTGTTTGAAATCCAGTCTTAGGATTGTAGTAAATATCTCGTAGTCCTTGTTCTTTCATAATATCATCGTCCATCTTATATTAACCAATGTAAGCTTGCTACTCAAGGTACATCTCAAGTAGCACTTCACCTATATCAATAGGTTTCCCGTCTTGATCTGTCATGTGGAATACAAGTTCTGAGAAAGAACCCTTGACTACAGGAATTCTGCTTTCTACATCGATATAGCTAACAACTGAGCCCAATAACGGTCTGTCAGTTGGAATTGTAACGCTTGTTATTACATCACTATGTCTTCCCCAGGTGTTAACATTAAAGCTGTTATTAGCTAGATTGCAGTGTATATTTACACATCGTAGACCATTATTAAAGTCAACTTTGCTATCACTAGTTAAACTCCTTCCTTTTAGTAGGATCATAGGATTATTAAATCTATTAAAGCCAAGCATTGTTAAAAACCTGGTTTCTATTGTAATGTCCTGCTTTACAGCTTCAACCTGACATCCTGCCGTTTCAGGAAAATATGTTAGTTTAACACCGTGTCTCTCGCGTAATTTTCTCATACTATCAAATGTGTAGTAACCCTTGTTGACAATGACATCGGATTCCCCGTCAGCTGTTCTTACCTTGAGAATAGTTGTTGGTCCTGTTATATTGAAGTATTCCCAGAACACTGAAACTCTCTTTATGAAGACTGAATTATAATTACTCGTTAGAACTGAATTCTGTAATGGCATAATAGTGTGCGACCCCTGAAGTAAAACTGTAAACTTCATCTTAATAACATACGTTAGGTTATTAAGAATGATACCAGGTGGAGGAGACGTTGGGAAGTCGCCTTATAGGTCTTACCAAGATTATGAAAAAAAGTATGGAAAAGAAGATGAAAATGATGTTGATCCTATTGCTGGTAAAAAAGCTGAGAATGCTGAGAGGGCTAGGTTTGTCAAAAAGTACCCTCACGCTGATATGAATAGGTTTAGGTTTGAAGCTATGACTACAAGTATTGGTGATATTGGAGTTGTTACATGGTTTGTGGATTTAGATGGCATAACTTCATATTACATTAGGTATGGCGGCTTTCTGAATAATAAGGAGTTCACATCTTATCTTACTGGTACTAAGGAAAAGGCTGAGGTGCCTGTCCAGTTTATACCTATGACAGACATGGATCAGCCTCCGCTAGAAGCACCACGTGAAGTTAACGGGTGGCCTGCAATGTGGGCCTCCGGAAAGGGAACTGGATACGGGGTAAATTCTGATGACACGGTTGATGGTCACAGTTACTTTCCTAAAATAAGATGGCCTAAGGATGTTAACAATTTTAAGTTGTATGTTGACGCTACAAGCTTCTTTACTACAACAGGTGGTGCAGGTGGATTTCTACTTCCAAGTATATCAAGTCTTATTACCACTAAGGGTGTTGATGTAAAGTTTGATTATAACAAGCCGTATTTTGCTGCACTATGCGGGGCATATATTGCTACACATCTTAGTGGAATCACAACTAGTCATATGACTCCTAGTAACGATGTTTATCCTGTTATTACTAGTGTTATGGACTTTCATGTTTACTATACTATCATAAAATTTGTGTACAACCCTGAGAGGCTGAAACCATATTTAAGTAGGTTGGGTCCTGTAAGGAGTCACATTCCCGTTGTTGGTAAGTGGGAAAATAAAACTGATACTTATAGAGTCACCTATGATAACGGACTTGAGTATGAAAAAGCAAGCTGGCTTAGGAAGAGAGGTAGTGATAGTAATCCAGTTAGAAACGTTGTTGCGTCCCCTATAAACTCAGTCAATGGATTTCTAATTAAGATAAAAATTAGGTATGAAGAAAGGGTTTCAGTAAGTCTGGTAGGTAAGTCTGACTATAGAAGTTTATTGCTGTTAACAACCTGGATGTTCCGAAGAATATTACTGAAACTGGGCTACTATTACTAAATGAGTCAGTGCAGGCGTTCTCGTATTCCGTACTAGGTGCACAAGCATCGACAAGAACTCCAATTGTAGGTGAGACGGGAAAGTCATTTTCTACCCAGGTGAAGTTCGGTAATATTGTTCACGATTGTGTTGTACAAGCGGATCCCGTTGTAACTCTATCTAATATGAGAACGGCTATCAGGGACACAAATGTTATACTTAATACAGCCATTACACCTGGAATAGTTCTGGTTCCATCCAGTCTAATCATTCTAAAGAATCCCGTTCCTGGATATAATAATATTCTTGTAAATGCTTCTTATAATATGAAGCGTGGAGTTAACACTAAGGTGAATTATGTTGGTGGTAAGCAAGTTGATCCTCCAAAGAAACAGCACCAAGACACTACACCTGTTCACCACCTTGATACTATTCACGGAACTAAAAAAGTTCCAGGAGGTTCTACAGGTGCTGAGACTCAAGTTGTTCCTATCACGGGGAATAGTGTGGTTAGTACTAATGAGTCTTCAGGAGTCAGTGCTATTGCTGGAGCTGGAATTGGTGCTATAGTTGTATTCATTCTAATGAAAGTTGTCCTGTAAACATTATGTATTCTATAAAATGGCTCTCTATAGAGGATACAATAAAGGAGTAAATAAAGTTGACCCATCAAGTGGTAGTGTGTTTGATAAGGATGAATTTACCATGAAGGGTGACATTGAGATGGATGGTAATGAGGTGAAAGGTCTGGGTGCACCTACAGATGATACTTCTGCGACCACAAGAAAGTGGGTGGATGATGAGATCATTAAACGAGCTGCCCTTACAATTCAACCAGCAGGGTTCACAATGACTGGGGATATTGACATGGGAGGTAATAAGATAACTAATCTTGATAATCCTACTAATCCAGGTGATGCTGCTAGTAAAAGTTGGGTTGAAGGTAGTCGTAGGCATATACATGTAAGCCTACCCGGACTTATTCTTACAAATGATCTCAATATGTCAACCAATGAAATAAAGGCTTTAGGTGATCCCACAACTGGAAAGTCTGCTGTTAGTAAGGACTGGGTAGTTAGTGAGCTAAATAAACCTGTATCTGGTGATATTGATATGAAAGACCATGAAATTAAGAATCTTAAGGATCCCTCTGAGGATCAGTCAGCTGTCACAAAAAAGTGGGCGGTTGATAATAACTTTGTTAAAAAAGGTGGAACTATGCAAGGAGATGTTTCCATGGGAGGCTGGAGACTATTTGATATTATTGACCCTAAACTTAGTAGTGAAGCTGTATCTAAAGGTTGGGTTGAGAGTAAGCTGTCTACAATTCCCAGTTCCTCAGGTTTTACAATGTCAGGTGATCTTCAAATGGGTGGACATGAAATTAAGAATGTCGGTAACCCCACTACTGACCAATCTGTTGTTACAAGAGGGTGGTTTGACTCAGATAGGGGAACATTTTTAAGGCTAAGTGACTCTTTCCTATTACAGAGTGTAACCGGGCCTATTAGCTTCTCTAAGGCCCCTAAAAGTTTCTCAGATGGGTTAGATTCAGCCAGTCTTGTAAGATTTAGCCAGCTAGTTACCTATCTTAAACTAAACGGTCTAAGTGAAATGACTGGTAATCTTAAGATGGGTGGAAATGAAATTGAAAATATCAGTAATCCTAGTGTTGATACATCTGCTGTTTCCATGGGGTGGGTAAAAAATAATGTTGTCACACGTGCTGGTGGTTCTAGAAACAATATGACCGGTACCCTGTGGATGAAAGGTAACAGAATACGTGAACTCGGAAATCCTGAGTATCTAACAGACGCCGTAAATAGAGGGTGGGTTGAAAATAAGATCTCTGGAGGTAGACGTAAACGTGAGACTTATAGTGGTCTTACGCTGTCTGATGACCTTGATATGGGAAACAATGAAATAATAAAGTTAGGTGCTCCTACTACTGATAATTCTGCTGTGTCTAAGAAATGGGTCACGGATCATGTCAGCGTGAGTTCTACGAGTAGTAGTGGACTTACTATGAGCGGTAATATTGACATGGGTGGTAATAGTATTACGGGGCTAAATAGTGGCTCGGTTGGGGATTCTAGTGCAGTTTCTTACGGAACTATGAGCAATTGGTGTAAACAGTTCCTGAAACGTGATGGTGGTGTTTTAGCAAGCAATCTAGATGTTAACGATTTCAAGTTAACTAGAGTGGGAAATCCTACTACGGACGGGTCGGCTGTTAATAAAAGGTGGGCAACTGATGAGTTCATGAGTAGTAGAGGTGGACTAGTAAAGGGTGATTTGGACATGGGAGATTCAAGTGGTATTCTAGATCTAAAGGATCCTGTAAATGATAAGGATGCTGTTAACAAACAATGGGTAGAAAGGAATTTCCTTAAACCTTCCACTGGACTTGTACAAGCAGTGGCCGATAAGAGATACGTAAGAATAAACCGTCATATTCACGCTGAGTGGATCTGGGGTTACCGTGCTGTTTCAGTTGCAGCAACAAGGTACTATGCTTACTGTCACGACCACATTCCACCTTCATGGAGAACAGATCCTATTAATAATATGGCAGACCTCAACCTTGAGTCGATTACTATTAAATCAGACTTTCCAACCTTTTCAACCATTCTAAATATACCACTAGCTCTAATTCTATGGGCTACTGTATGGGAAAAACAATCTAATGGAAAATTTACCCAGGTTAAGAAGGAAATCGCTCTGAGAACAATAGACTTAAGAAGACAGTCATACACATGGTTTAATGGGACTTACACAACTACAGGTGGAAGTACAGCTTGCTATGTTTTCAAGGGTAATAGTATGTTCTATTTAGGAAACCAGGTCGAGTTGGTAGATAACACGCTGGCTTGGTGTATTATAGTTAAACCTGAACACTCAAAGCCCACTGGATCGAGTATGGATATGTCCTTTTGCTGGTCACTTCGATATTCAGGGTCAGGTATTTAACATGTGTTTTATCATAAGGTAAGATGTCAAGATGGAGGTCATGTTTCTCCTGGTTAGGTAAGATTTGTGGTTGTCGTAAGAGTTCTGGTAAGAATGGAAAGGTTGGTGATATAAATTTCTCTGTATCAAATAATATTAACGTTGACGTCAACACACAGAATAATAAAGACGATTCAAGTAATGTGTTTGACCCTAAGAGCTTCGGCCCTTTGAGTATAATTAAATATGATAATAAAGATTAAAATAATACATAAAAAAATGAGGTAAAAAGACCACGGAAAAAAATGGTCTAGAAAAATGAGCCCGCGTTTTTTGGGGGAAAATTTGGGAAACCGCTGACCGGAAGTGGGGTGAGATCGCAGGCTGAAAAAGTGGTCTAGAACCGCTACTTCCTATACTACTGAGGACAAGGTTCCTGGTGGTGAGGACAAGGTTCCTGGCGGTGAGGACAAGGTTCCTGGTGGTGAGGACAAGGTTCCTGGCGGTGAGGACAAGGTTCCTGGCTGTGAGGACGAGGTTCCTGGCGGTGAGGGCAAGGTTCCTGGAGGTGAGGACAAGGTTCCTGGCGGTGAGGACAAGGTTCCTGGCGGTGAGGACAAGGTTGCTGGCAGTGAGGACAAGGTTCCTGCCGGCGAGGACAAGGTATCTGGCGGTGAGGACAAGGTTCCTGGCTCTGAGGACAAGGTTACTGGCGGTGAGGAAAAGGTTCCTGGCTGTGAGGACGAGGTTCCTGGCGGTGAGGACAAGGTTCCTAGCGGTGAGGACAAGGTTCCTGGCGGTGAGGACGAGGTTCCTGGCGGTGAGGACGAGGTTCCTGGCGGTGAGGACAAAGTTCCGGCCGGTGAGGACAAGGTTCCTGGCGGAGAGGACAAGATTCCTGGCGGTGAGGACAAGGTTCCTGCCGGTGAGGACAAGGTTCCTGGCTGTGAGGACGAGGTTCCTGGCGGTGAGGGCAAGGTTCCTGGAGGTGAGGACAAGGTTCCTGGCGGTGAGGACAAGGTTCCTGGCGGTGAGGACAAGGTCCTGGCGGTGAGGACAAGGTTGCTGGCAGTGAAGACAAGGTTCCTGGCGGTGAGGACGAGGTTCCTGCCGGTGAGGACGAGGTTCCTGGCTGTGAGGACGAGGTTCCTGGAGGTGACGACAAGGTTCCTGGCGGTGAGGACAAGGTTACTGGCAGTGAGGACAGGTTTCCTGCCGGTGAGGACAAGGTTCCTGGCTGTGAGGACGAGGTTCCTGGCGGTGAGGGCAAGGTTCCTGGAGGTGAGGACAAGGTTCCTGGCGGTGAGGACAAGGTTTCTGGCGGTGAGGACAAGGTTGCTGGCGGTGAGGACAAGGTTCCTGCCGGTGAGGACAAGGTTCCTGCTGGTGAAGACGAGGTTCCTGCCGGTGAGGACAAGGTTCCTGGCTGTGACGATAAGGTTCCTGGCGGTGAGGACAAGGTTCCTGGCGGTGAGGACAAGGTTCCTGCCGGTGAGGACAAGGTTCCTGGCTGCGAGGACGAGGTTCCTGGTGGTGAGGGCAAGGTTCCTGGAGGTGAGGACAAGGTTCCTGGAGGTGAGGACAAGGTTCCTGGCGGTGAGGACAAGGTTACTGGCAGTGAGAACAAGGTTCCTGCCGGTGAGGACAAGGTATCTGGCGGTGACGACAAGGTTCCTGGCTGTGAGGACAAGGTTAATGGCGGTGAGGAAAAGGTTCCTGGCTGTGAGGACGAGGTTCCCGGCGGTGAGGACAAGGTTCCTGGCGGTGAGGACGAGGTTCCTGGCGGTGAGGACGAGGTTCCTGGCGGTGAGGACAAGGTTCCGGCCGGTGAGGACAAGGTTCCTGGCGGTGAGGGCAAGGTTCCTTACGGTGAGGACAAGGTTCCTGGTGGTGAGGACAAGGTTCCTGGCGGTGAGGACAGGGTTCCTGGCTGTGAGGACGAGGTTTCTGGCGGTGAGGGCAAGGTTCCTGGCGGTGAGGCCAAGGTTCCTGGCGGAGAGGACAAGGTTCCTGGCGGAGAGGACAAGGTTCCTGCCAGTGAGGACAAGGTCCCTGGCGGTGAGGACAAGGTTCCTGCCGGTGAGGACAAGGTTCCTAGCTGTGAGGACGAGGTTCCTGGCGGTGAGGGCAAGGATCCGGGAGGTAAGGACAAGGTTCCTGGAGGTAAGGACAAGGTTCCTGGCGGCGAGGACAAGCTTACTGGCAGTGAGGACAAGGTTCCTGCCGGTGAGGACAAGGTTCCTGGCGGTGAGGACAAGGTTCGTGGTGGTGAGAACGAGGTCCCTGGCGGTGACGGCAAGGTTCCTGGAGGTGAGGACAAGGTTCCTGGTGGTGAGGACAAGGTACCGGCCGGTGAGGACAAGCTTCCTGGCTGTGAAGACGAGGTTCCTGGCGGTGAGGACAAGGTCCCTGGCGGTCAGGACGAGGTTCCTGGCGGTGAGGACAAGGTCGCTGGCAGTGAGGACAAGGTTCCTGGCGGTGAGGGCAAGGTTCCTGGCGGTGAGGGCAAGGTTCCGGCCGGTGAGGACAAGGTTCCGGCCGGTGAGGACAAGGTTCCTGGCGGTGAGGACAAGGTTCCTGGCGGTGAGGACAAGGTTCCTGGCGGTGAGGACAAGCTCCCTGGCGGTCAGGACAAGGTCCCTGGCGGTGAGGACAAGGTCCCTGGCAGTGAGGACAAGGTTCCTGGCGGTGAGGACAAGGTTCCTGGCGGTGAGGACAAGGTTCCGGCCGGTGAGGACAAGGTTCCTGGCGGTGAGGACAAGGTTCCTGGCGGTGAGGACAAGGTTGCTGGCGGTGAGGACAAGGTTCCTGGCGGTGAGGACAAGGTACCTGGCGGTGAGGACAAGGTTCCTGGCTGTGACGACAAGGTTCCTGGCGGTGAGGACAAGATTCCTAGCGGTAAGGACAAGGTTCCTGACGGTGAGGACAAGGTTCCTGGCGGTGAGGACAAGGTTCCTGGCGGTGAGGACAAGGTTCCTGCCGGTGAGGACAAGGTTCCTGCCTGTGAGGACGAGGTTCCTGCCTGTGAGGACGAGGTTCCTGGCTGTGAGGACAAGGTTCCTGGCGGTGAGGTCAAGGTTACTGGCAGTGAGGACAAGTTTCCTGCCGATGAGGACAAGGTTCCTGGCGGTGAGGACAAGGTTCCTGGCGGTGAGGACAAGGTTCCTGGCGGTGAGGACAAGGTTCCTGGCGGTGAGGACAAGGTTCCTGGCGGTGAGGACAAGGTTCCTGGCGGTGAGGACAAGGTTCCTCGCGGTGAGGACAAGGTTCCTCGCGGTGAGGACAAGGTTCCTCGCGGTGAGGACAAGGTTCCTGGCGGTGAGGACAAGGTTCCTGGCGGTGAGGACAAGGTTCCTGGCGGTGAGGACAAGGTTCCTGGCGGTGAGGACAAGGTTCCTGGCGGTGAGGACAAGGTTCCTGGCGGTGAGGACAAGGTTACTTGCGGTGAGGACAAAGTTCCTGGCGGTGAGGACAAGGTTCCTGGCGGTGAGGACAAGGTTACTTGCGGTGAGGACAAGGTTCCTGGCGGTGAGGACAAGGTTCCTGGCGGTGAGGAGAAGGTTCCTGGCGGTGAGGACAAGGTTCCCTGCGGTGAGGACAAGGTTCCCGGCGGTGAGGACAAGGTTCACGGCGGTGAGGACAAGGCTCCTGGCGGTGAGGACAAGTTTCCTGGCGGTGAGGACAAGGTTCCTGGCTGTAAGGACAATGTTTCTGACGGTGAGGACAAGGTTCCTGGCAGTGAGGACAAGGTTCCTGGTGGTGAGCACAAGGTTCATGGGTGTAAGGACAAGGTTCCTGGCGGTGAGGACAAGGTTCCTGGCGGTAAGGACAAGGTTTCTAGCGGTGACGACAAGGTTCCTGGCGGTGAGGACAAGGTTCCTGGTGGTGAGGACAAGGTTACTGGCTGTGAGGACAAGGTTTCTAGCGGTGAGGACAAGGTTTCTAGCGGAAAGGACAAGGTTCCTGCCCGTGAGGACAAAATTCCGGGTGGTGAGGACCAGGTTCCTGGTGGTGAGGACAAGGTTACTGGCGGTGAGGCCAAGCTTCCTGGCGGTGAGGACAAGCTTCCCGGCGGTGAGGACAAGGTTCCTGGCGATGAGGACAAGGTTCCAGGCAGTGAGGACAAGGTTCCTGGCGGTAAGGACAAGGTTCCTGGCGGTGAGGACAAGGTTTCAAACGGTGAGGACAACGTTCCTGGCGGTGAGAATAAGGTTCCTGGCGGTGAGGACAAGGTTTCTAGCGGTGTGGACAAGGTTTCTTGCGGTGAGGACAAGGTTGTTGGCGGTGAAGACAAGGTTACTGGCGGTGAGGACAAGGTTCTTGGCGGTGACGACAAGGTTCTTGGCGGTGACGACAACGTTCTTGGCTGTGAGGACAAGGTTGCTGACGGTGAGGACAAGGTTTCAGGGACTCGGTTTCAGGCTATGAGGACAAGGTTTTTGGCGGTGAGGACAAGGTTCGTGGCGGTGAGGACAAGGTTCCTGGCGGTGAGGACAAGGTTCTTGGCGGTGACGACAAGGTTCTTGGCGGTGAGGACAATGTTCCTGCTGGTGAGGACAAGGTTCCCGGCGGTGAGGACAAGGTTCCTGGCGGTGAGGACAAGGTTCCAGGCAGTGAGGACAAGGTTCCTGGCGGTAAGGACAAGGTTCCTGGCGGTGACGACAAGGTTCCTGGCGGTGACGGCAAGGTTACTGACGGTGAGGACAAGGTTTCTAGCGGTGTGGACAAGGTTTCTTGCGGTGAGGACAAGGTTGTTGGCGGTGAAGACAAGGTTACTGGCGGTGAGGACAAGGTTTTTGGCGGTGACGACAAGGTTCTTGGCGGTGAGGACAAGACTGCTCACTGGGAGGACAAGGTTCCTGGCGGCGAGGACAACGTTCTTGGCTGTGAGGACAAGGTTGCTGACGGTGAGGACAAGGTTTCAGGCTGTGAGGACAAGGTTCCTGGCGGTGAGGACAAGGTTCTTGGCGGTGAGGAGAATGTTCCTGGCGGTAAGGACAAGCTTCCTGGCGGTGAGGACAAGGTTGCTGGCGGTGAGGAGAAGGTTCCTGGCGGTGAGGACAAGGTTCCTGGCGGTGAGGACCAGGTTCCTGGCGGTTAGGACAAGGTTCCTGGCGATGAGGACAAGGTTCCTGGCGGTGAGGACAAGTTTCCTGGCGGTGAGGACAATGTTTCTGATGGTGAGAACAAGGTTCCTGGCGGTGACGACAAGGTTCTTGGCGGTGACGACAAGGTTCCTGGTGGTGAGGACAAGGTTCCTTGCGGTTAGGACAAGGTCGCCGGCGGTGAGGACAAGGTTCCTCTCGGTGAGGACAAGGTTCCTCGTTGGTGGTGAGGAGAAGGTTCTTGGCGGTAAGGACAAGGTTCCTGGCGGTGAGGACAAGGTTCCTGGCGGTGAGGACAATGTTTCTGAAGGTGAGGGCAAAGTTCCTGGCCGTGAGGACAAGGTTCCTGGCGGTGAGGACAAGGTTCCTGACGGTAAGGACAAAGTTCCTGGCGGTGAGGACAAGGATTCAGACGGTGAGGACAAGGTTTCTAGCGATGAGGACAAGGTTCCTGGCGGTGAGGACAAGCTTCCTGGCGGTGAGGACAAGGTTCCTGGCGGTGTGGACAATGTTCCTGGCGATGAGGACAAGGTTACTGGCGGTGAGGACAAGGTTCCTGGCGGTCAGGACAAGGTTCCTGGCGGTGAGGACAAGGTTCCTGGCGTGAGGACAAGGTTACTGGCGGTGAGGACAATGTTCCTGGCGGTGAGGACAAGGTTACTGGCGGTGAGGACAAGGTTCCTGGCGGTGAGGACAAGGTTTCAGACGGTGAGGAGAAGGTTTCTAGCGATGAGGACAAGGTTCCTGGCGGTGAGGACAAGCTTCCTGGCGGTGAGGACAAGGTTCCTGGCGGTGTGGACAATGTTCCTGGCGATGAGGACAAGGTTACTGGCGGTGAGGATCAGGTTCCTGGCGGTTAGGACAAGGTTCCTGGCGGTGAGGACAAGGTTCTTGGCCGTGAGGACAAGGTTCCTGGCGGTGAGGACAATGTTTCTGACGGTGAGGACAAGGTTCCTGGCCGTGAGGACAAGGTTCCTGGCGGTGAGGACAAGGTTTCAGACGGTGAGGACAAGGTTTCTACGATGAGGACAAGGTTCCTGGCGGTGAGGACAAGGTTCCTGGCGGTGAGGACAAGGTTACTGGCGGTGAGGACAAAGTTTCAGACGGTGAGGACAAGGTTTCTAGCGATGAGGACAAGGTTCCTGGCGGTGAGGACAAGGTTCCTGGCTGTGAGGACAAGGTTACGGGCGGTGAGGACAAGGTTCCTTGCGGTTAAGACAAGGTCCCCGGCGGTGACGAAAAGGTTCCTCTCGGTGAGAACAAGGTTCCTCGTTGGTGGTGAGGAGAAGGTTCTTGGCGGTGAGAACAAGATTCCTGGCGGTCAGGACTAGGTTTCTGGGGCTGAGGACAAGGTCCCTGACGGTAGGGAGAAGGTTCCAGGCGGTGAGGACAAGGTTTCAGACGGTGACGACAAGGTTTCTAACGGTGAGGACAAGGTTCCTGGCGGTGAGAACAAGGTTCCTGGCGGTGAGGACAAGGTTACTAGCGGTGAGGACAATGTTCCTGGCGGTGAGGACAAACTTCCTGGCGGTGAGGACAAGCTTCCTGGCGGTGAGGACAAGGTTCCTGACGGTGTGGACAAGGTTCCTGGCGGTGAGGACAAGGCTCCTATCCATGAGGACAAGGTTACTGGCGGTGAGGACAAGATTCCTGGCGGTTAGGACAAGGTTCCTGGCGGTGACAACAAGGTACTGGCGGTAAGGACAATGTTACTGGCGGTGAGGACAATATTCCTGGCGGTGAGGACAAGGTTACTGGCGGTGAGGACAATGTTCCTGGCG